TATGGTCCTGATTGGTTGGTAAACGATGAAAAAAACTGGCCTAAATCGAATAAAAACGAAAATATTCTAAATTTAGAAATACCTGAAGCTCGGTCAGTGACCTTAGCTACGTTCGACGCAAGACCGCAATATCCGTCACTGATAAACCGATACTCGTCTTTAAATAGATTATTGCGCGTCGTAGCGTATTGTTTACGTTTTTGTTATAACCTGTCGCATAAAAATTCAAAACTCGACGGTGTGTTAAGTATCGAAGAAATTAACAAAGCACGGATATCTATAATAAAATGTATTCAAAGGGAAGCTTTTGCGCGTGAAATTCGAGATTTGACTAATTTAAATAAGGTAGCCGTATCGAGTAAATTATTCCGACTATGTCCGTTTTTAGACGAAAATAATATTGTACGTGTAGGAGGACGATTGAAAAATGCCTCTACGTTAGACGTCGATCAGCGCCATCCAATCGCATTGCCGGCGGATTGTCACTTTACACGGTTATTATTTGAGTATGAGCATAAGCGATGCATGCATGGAGGTCCACAGGCGACACTATGCTCGATACGCATACGATATTGGCCGATAAATGGTCGAAATATAGCCAGAAGTGTAGTGCATGAATGTGTAACGTGTTTCCGTTATAAACCAATAGTCGTGCAGCCGATTTTGGGCAATCTACCCGCGGAACGAGTAGAACCGACGCGCGCTTTTTCAAGTTGCGGTATTGATTTTGCCGGCCCTTTTATGATCAAGACAAGTGTGCGGCGTAATGCCCCTTTAGTAAAAGCGTATGTATGTATTTTTGTTTGTTTTTCAACAAAAGCAGTACACATGGAATTAGTCGGAGATCTGAGCACACCAGCATTTATTAACGCATTAAATCGTTTTTTTGACCGACGAGGAAGAAGTGTTACTATTTATACCGACAACGCGACTAACTTTGTTGGAGCAAATCGCAAAATGAAGGAATGGAGCGATCTATTTCATTCGGAACAAAATAAAAAAAAGGTACATGACGCGTTAACAGACCTCGGCGTTCAATGGCGTTTTATTCCCCCGCGATCACCGCACTTCGGTGGGTTATGGGAAGCCGCGGTCAAGTCCATGAAGCAGTTATTACAGAAGACTGTAGGTAACGCTCACTTGCGTTTTGAAGAGCTTAGTACTGTGCTTACGCGTGCCGAAGCTTGCCTAAATTCCCGACCTATTACTCCTATGTCATCCGACCCAAACGACACGTCCTTTTTGACCCCAGGTCATTTCCTTATAGGCGACTCACTTTTATCGATACCGGAACCCGACTTGTCAAATATACCGACAAGCCATTTGTCGAGATGGCGTCGCGTGACTCAATATTCACGAACTATCTGGCAGAAATGGAGTCGTGAGTATTTGAATCAGCTACAAGAGAGAAAGAGGTGGGCTGGTGCCAAGGGACCTAAACTGGAAGTGGGTACCGTGGTATTAATGCGAGAAGATAACCTCCCTCCATTAAGATGGCGTTTAGCGCGAGTTACAAAGGTTATTGCTGGTGATGATGGTGAGGTGCGGGTCGCTGAAGTCCAAACTACGACGGGACAGTTCACACGGGCAGTTCGACAATTGTGTCCATTGCCGTTTAAAGAAAACGGCACTGAGTAGATCATTATATAAATTTGTTTGTCTACTTTAGTTCATTTTTTTTTGTTTGTTAGAGTCAGCATATAATTGTATTATTATTAATGGTTATTACGCAATCTATTTATTCATTTATTTATTTTTTTTTCTTTTGTAATTGTAACATTTATTAATTATTTTTGTCTATCATTTGAAATCAATGTTTCAAGGCGGGCGGCATGTTGCGTGTCAGTGTGCGGTTTCCGAGGTGCGATAGTGTTGGTATCGGTATGAACCGATTAGATGTCGCGGCGATCGATCGTTAACGATACGCTTTCAATATATCGACTAGTCTAGTTTCGAACCATGCCACGGAAAGCACACTACTGGTGCGCATCGCGTCTTAGCTCAGGCTAGTGTTTGAATAAAGTTATACAGTCCACAATAAATAAAATACCATTCTTTATTATAATCAAATGTTTATACTTGCTTACCACGTCCCAACATGCGTAACATAGCAAATTTTACGCTTAGCAGAACACGTGTAGCTCCATTAATTTGACATTTAGACCGAATTGACCTCTTATAAAATCTAAAGGTAAGATTATTTTCTAAACAACCTCATAGGCTTTTTATTATATTTTAATTTTTACCCGAGTTATGAGTATTTTAAAACTGTAAATTGTTTGAACATCTTAAAATACACATAACTCGCTTTAAAATGAAAATATATTAAAAAGCCTATGAGATTGTCTATATAATAATCTTACCTTTAGATTTTATAAGAGATCAATTAGCTGTAATTTTTAAACTACCGGAGCTACACGTGTTTTGCTGAGCGTAAAATTTGCCATATTACGCACTTGTAAGACGGAGACAACACATGTGGGTATCACTTCCTCTTAACGTTAATGTGTACATGATAAAAATTTTAAACACAAGTGCCCACAGTTTGTAGTATTATATTTCTGCTCTCTGCTGTAATTGAAATGTATGTCACATCCGTGAAAATATTGTTGTACTTCTAATGGTGGAGGTAAATTCCCAAAACTGTCGTAATATTCGACTTTTTTTCCGATTTTTTTATACGCTACCCAATGCGTTCCAGTACCGTTTTCTGTATCCAAGTTAATAATCGCTGATTCTTGTCGCTTAGGACGTGTAGATAACCTATCTCTGGTAAACACTCCGATGAAATGAGGTATTTTCATCATGCGAGCATATTTTATAAGTTCGTAATCGTACAACGCTCTACTGGGTAACGTGGCTATTAGTTTTTTGACTTTCTATATTTTCTCGCTTTTACACCCCCTCCACTTTTATGCGGTGTTTCTATTTTATATGAGTTGCCTTTATACGGTGTGAGATATAACCCTATGCCCAAATGTAGGGATGGAGTGTTTCTATTAAATTCATTAGCAATCTTCACAACGTTGGCTACGCCGCCAGTCAGAGCTCCTAGAGCTGACAACCCGGCGAAAATCGGTATGAGTGGTAGCACACCGCCTTTTTTCGGAATATTTATTGTTCGTGGAACTTAAGTTCTTCTTAATTTTGAATGTTTTTCGCACGACGGCTACACATTTTTTAGTCAATTTCATCAAGTTTTTTTCTCCGATATTTTTCTATATAACATTTTTAGTGGCTTTAAGTGCTGCTTTAAAACCACAGCCGCCACCTACTTTACGTTTTGCTTTCATGGCAGTAGTCACACCCCAAGCCACAGCTTTTTCTTTTAAACTAGAATCTTTTGACTTTAATCTATCCCAGGCTCGCTGCTCTAATATATAATCGGCTTTGTTACGATCTGCTATAGAGTTGCTATGTTCGTACGCAATATCGTGGTCTCTACAAGCAGAGTCCAGAGGGTTTATACCTTTATCACCACGTGCTAATCGTTTTCCTAAATTTGTACAAGGTCCACAGTATTGATAACCTAAAATATAAAAATATTGGAAAATATAATATTAACGGATTTATAATATAATATACCAGGCACGTGAAGCTCGATTGGTAATTTGTTTATAAGCGTGTTGATCAGGCCACTGCCTTTATTCTTGCTGCTTCTTCGAGCGAGTGACATCGTGTACTGATTACATTCTCATCGTTGCTCAGTTATTTATAATGAAGTTCATCAAACAAAAAATAAAACTATCAGTTGAAAACGTGGACCCGCCTACATCGTTTATGAAACAAAGACACGGGGCGCTCCTACCTAATACGATACGTGCGCTTATCGTGTGTCCTTCTGGCTGTGGAAAAACAAATTTAATTTTCACTTTATTAACCAATATAAACGGATTACGATTTCACAACGTATACATATATTCAAAAACATTGGATCAACCTAAATATAAAATGTTGAGTGATATTTTATCAGACATTGATGGTATACAATTATTTACATTCTATGAAAACGAACTAGTTATTGAACCTGAGAAAGCTTTACCAAACTCTGTGTTTATTTTTGACGATATTATTACTGAAAACCAAAAGATTGCAAGAACTTACTTCTCCAGAGGTCGTCATAAATTAGTTGATGTATTCTATCTGGCTCAGAGTTATTCAAAAGTACCAAAACAACTTTTGCGCGATAACGCTAATTTTATTGTATTATTCAAACAAGACGATACTAATTTAAAGCATGTATACAATGAGCATTGCTCTGGCGACATGTCATATTCAGAGTTTAAAGACTTTTGTACTTCGTGTTGGCGTCTGGGGAGATTTGAGTTTATCGTTATAAACAAAGACTGTGAACGTGACAATGGACGATATCGTCAGGGATTCGACACATTCGTCATTATATAAAGTGTTGTTATTGTGGAAATGATTTATTCGCAGTCATGGCTGTCAGTGGTGATATACTCGGAGAACCGATTAAAGCCAAAGAAAATATCAAGCGCAAGTATACAGCATTAAAACAAGGAAAAACCGACTGTTAACGCACGTCGTGTTCTTTCGTATCGCAGTTGACACGACGTACTCGCATTGTCAGGACTCTTGGTATAGCGTATGACAATTGATATTATTATACCAACGTAATAAAGGGGTACACCAAATTTAAATGTAATGTTTATATTATTTGACAGGCCTAAGAACGGCTGACATTACAAACGTAGCTGACTAGACGTCTCTAAGTCCAGCTACCAAATACAAACAGTAAAATATAATATTATAATATATAACAACAATGATATGACTTATCTACTACGGTGGAGGCGGCGCTGGTGTTGTCGGGCGGTAGAGATAGTCGGAGTAGGTGGTGGACGACGGGCGACGGCGTTGACCCATATACCGGTATAAAGATAGACCGACGGCGGCTGTGTTGCCACGACCTTCGATTGAAGATGGGATGGGCGGCGTGCGGTGGCGGCGGCGACGGCTCACTGTATAACGCACTGCACCTAGCACTTAATTAGATCGGCGGCGGCTGAGTTTCGCGATCTTACGTAACGTGTACGCCACAACAATGTGAGTACGTACGTACGACGCACGCGACACAACAGTACTCGATGTGCACCGTTTGATGGCGATTGACGATTATAACACACGAGACGAGTATAATACGACGCGTAATTCAAAGGTAGACCAGCACAATATAACGGTCGGACGTCGGAACACCGGTCAATACCCACAAGGTCCCCACGGACGTCAAAGGCAGCGACGTCCGATGACAAGAGAGACGGGGCAACTGGTTGTAGACACACCGGCGCGCCGGCACAACATGCAAAATAGCCAGCCAGGTCGATACCACGTCGGGTGGGAAGGGGAATACGCAAGCTTAATCGGCGGCCTACAGGTAGAATCGCCAACACTGATAGCGGCACGATTTTGCGACGACTTGCGTAAACACCGACATTCATTCATTAGTATCAGAAACGTTAAGTCCTATTATCGAACCATTAGAAAAAATAAAACGTTTCGGTCCATCAGCATTTCAAGCTCCGCCTACACAGCAAGACATTCAAGATTATCAATATTTTAACGACACAGACGATTCGCTAGCTTTTAACGATTGGTTTAAGTCTTACGATATAGACAAGACGTACGGACCTAAAATACAAACAAATGGAAGTGTACACTTAGGTAAAAAAGAAATTAAACTCGTTGATAATACGTTAACTATTGAAGATACATCATATCCACTAACACAAGGACTTGGTAATTTAATATTTTCAAAATCTCCAAAATTGTACACCAAAAACGATTTAGAAACATACAAGTCTATATTAATTCAAACATCGGCGCATCTAAAAGCAGATGGGAAAAAAATTAAAAAAGGCGGAAATAAATATACAGATATAATCCAAAATCTGTTTCCATCGGGCGCTGGGCTGTCAGTTAAATTACAAAAACATAATTTAGTATACTGGAACGACCCAAACGAGTTAGTCGATCGATTACGACTTCTTTTAGCTTCTAAAGCTGCTGGTAATACAGGCGTTTCGAATGAAATACTCTCGATTTTTGAAGAATTGCTTGAAGCAGGGTTAATAAAACGTATTCCAAATGTCTAAACGTGATATAGCTTATGAACTCCACAAACCAGCTAGAAAAAATTATACGAGACGTAGAGTTAATGTTTATGACAAAAACGATCTATGGCAGGCAGATTTAGTCGAAATGATACCGTATTCGAAAAAAAAAATAAAGGCTATAAATATATTCTATGTGTAATTGATTGTTTTACTAAATTTGCATGGGCAATAGCGTTAAAATCTAAAACTGCTAAAGAAGTTTCCAGCGCAATGTCTAAAATACTGATTAAAAGCACACCAAAACTATTACAGCTTGATAATAAAGCTTAATAAATAATGGTAAAGAATTATACAATTCTACATTTGATGCGTTAATGTCTAAATACAACATACACAAATATTCTACTTACAGTACTATGTTAGCGTGTATTGTAGAACGTTTCAACAGCACATTGAAAGAAAAAATGTTTAGAGACTTTACGGCACGTGGCTCTCACGAATGGGTTTCTATTTTACAGTCGTTGATTAACGAATATAATAATTCAAAACATAGAACTATAGGAATGACGCCTGTACAAGCTGATGCTAATCCTACGTCAGTGGAAATAAAGAAACGAAAAATTATTAATGGATCAATCAAATTTAACGTGGATGATAACGTTCGTATTAGTACATATAAAGGTGTATTTGCAAAAGGTTATTTATCGAGCTAGTCTACAGAAATATTCAAAATTGTTAAAATTAATGAAACATTACCTACTACTTATCAGCTACAAGATTATACTGGAAAATCAATTGCTGGTTGCTTTTATTCAGAAGAAATATTGAAAACAAACTATCCAAATGACTATTTAGTAGAGAAAATTATCCGTAAGAAGGGGGATCAAATTGTTGTCAAATGGCTAGGGTTTGATAATACACACAATAGTTGGATAAGTACAAGTGACATTAGAAAATAACTTCAGTCGAGCTACAGACATGAACGTGTTCGGTAGTTCTCAGTCTGGTGAAACTAATACATTTTTAGTAAATCTCGAACAAATTGTTAAATCGTATTCGAATAAACTAGATAAATTCGAAAATTCAGTTAAAGAACAAAGAGAACAAATTGTTACATTTCAATCACTACAAATAGATTACATGAAAAGAATTGACGCATCCTTACAACATATTAAAGAAAATACAGACAAGTTGAAAAATAAACCATAATGTCTTCAGCCATCTTGGACATGCAATGCGTTCTTGGATTTAACAATAAATATATGATTAAAGAAATGTCTATAGTAGACACAGAAACTTGGGCGACCCAACACTGGATTTTTAAACATTCAAAATCGATGGAGGATAACAAAAGTCGTAAAACCAACAAGTGGCTGGAACGTAATTACCATCAACTACCTATAGAATACGGCGATATCGAGTATGAAGAACTCGGTAAAATATTGAATTCATTAAAGTTCACCTGTATTTACGTCAAAGTTGAACAGAAAAAACAAATTCTTATGGAGTATATACCATCAACACTCATCAACATTGAAGACTTGGGCTGCCCTCGTTTGGATCAAATATGCGATGACGAAACTTTACCTTGTTGTATTTTTCATATGGAATTTAATCCTAAACAGTGTACATTTTATAAAGTTTTTGCTATAAGAAAATGGTTTATAAATAATTCTTAAAAAATATAACAATAATATTTTAACATTGGTTTTTTATTTTACATAGGTAACCTAACATTTTCAATACATGGTTATAGATAAAAAAAATATACATGATATTTTACAATATAACAAAAATATATGCATTAATGTAAATCAAGTATTTACAATATATAACATGATAATATTTTCAATATAATATATACATAGTATTTACAAATTAGAAATATATATACAGTATTTAATTATTTAGACATGCACCCCCTTAGAAGTAATCTCATTAAATCTTTCTCTTCATCGTTCCAGTTCTGTCCTTCTTCTTCTAATTCAGGCCAATCAACAATCTGCTCGTTATCATCCCTATAAAATTATAAATATAAGTACAATATTTTGAAAAATATAAAATAATTTAAAAACTTACTCTATACTATAGTGTCCATGTGCTAGTGTGTGGACTTTATCTTCTAGCACCACTCTTTTGTCATCGTAGCTGTTATATGTTAATTTTTTAGTCTTAATCGTCATGAGTTGATGTTTGAATGACCGTATTGAAACATTCTCCTTGTACGCCTCTAATCCTTCTTCCCCAAACAAACACTTAACATGATCCTCCAACGTCATGTGGTTTTTAACCACATGCTGTCTTACACCCTTCGCCTTGATCTGCTCTCTCACCACATTCTCTTCTCCTGTATATATGTTGTACGCGTATGATTTTACACGTAGTGCACAAAACTCTGTCATTATATGTCCTTTTGCTTCATCAGAGAAAAACCCGGGCACCTTCTTCCTAGCTGTAGTGTAGCACGGATGGGTAGGAGGCAAGTCCGCCGTGTCTAATCTATCCATCAAGTTGGGATTCTCAATCAAGTCTTTGTAAAAATCTTCAGTTTTAATATGGTATACCAACGAATCTGAAATAATAATTAATATATATACATATACACACAAGAGAATAGTTTTAGTATATTTACCTGTGTCAGTATACATAAGTTTGATATAATCACCAAAGTGCTTCTGCATTACGTTGTAGTGATAATCGTACATCATCGTCTTGGAAATGTCAAGTACAGCAAATCCTATACAAAATATGTAAATAAATGATAAACATGTAATTTAATAATCAAATAATTTAAATTTAAGTATATTTACCAATATATATAGGCTTATCAAATTTGATTATTTTGTTTTCCAACGCCACCGCGTTCAGGTTTTCTCTATAGTTGGTAGCATGTTTAAATGTCGTCTTATTAATAAGTTTTTGTAGTCGTCTCTCACACGACACCAACTCCATCTTCATCTCCTTTCTTTTAGACTGCATTGTTTTACCTGTAAAAATAAAATGTTATTAAAATCAGAATAAATAGTATAAAGTAACATACCAAATACTGCATTATTCATTAATTTGAAAAAGTCTTTCTCAAAGTCGTTCTGTGCCTTCTTTCTCATCTCTGTGTTTAAGTTAATGTAATCCGCCAACCATGCAGACTGGCTAAATTCAAAAACTCTATGCACCTATAAATTAAGATATAATGTTAAAAATTTAATTTAATTTAATTTAAATCTTGTAAAATAAAAATATTTACTTTCTCAACTATTAACCCATTTTCAATTGCCTGCTGTAGGTTCCGGTAATGTACTGGGTGATTCTTTTATCAAACAACACTCATTATTAATTCAAAAAGTGTAAATTTTTTTGAAGATATTTTTTTACATAGTTTCAAGTATAAATTAGTTTATAAAACAACGTTTTTACTAAAAAATTATATTTTTAATTATTTTTTAACCTTATAATTTTTTAAGTTTTTTACTTTTTTGAATGACAACATAGGGTTTTAATTTTATATTCTAAAGTAGAATATTTTTATTAGTATTTTGATACATGAAAATTGAATTTGGGGCGAGTAGTTTATGAGTTATAAGTATTTAAAGTTTTGACGAGCAGTGAAGTGGACAAATATTTCGCGGGGTAACCCCGAACCACTCCACTCCACTCGTCTAAACTTTAAATACTTATAACTCATAAACTACTCGCCCCAAATTCAATTTTCATGTATCAAAATACTAAGAAAAATATTCTACTTTAGAATATAAAATTAAAACCCTATGTTGTCATTCAAAAAAGTAAAAAACTTAAAAAATTATAAGGATAAAAAATAATTAAAAAAATAATTTTTTAGTAAAAACGTTGTTTTATAAGCGACTTGAAACTATGTAAAAAAATATCTTCAAAAAAATTTACACTTTTTGAAATAATGAGTGTTGTTTGATAAAAGAATCACCCAGTATAATATAATTTTTCTTCTGCTGAAACGTTGCCATCAATTTTTTCACCTTCGACCCGCGTGGTATACCGTTTTGTGGCAGGAAGGGCAGGTCGTTATGTTTGTCGTGTAATTTTTGCGGGTATGAGACATCAATTTCGTATACTCGCCCTTTGTCTGATGTGTCGTTTAAATCAGCTAATCCGTTAAGAGACGGTTCAACCCAATTGAAGTCACCGTATGGCATATACTGACACATAGCCCAGCCATAGAGATTATTACCTGTAAAGTTTAAGTTTGTAAAAAATGAATAAATAAATAAATAAATAAATATATTTACAGTCCTGGTATATCAACCACGATTTCTCCTTAGTTTCGTCATAGTCTGGGGTATTTATATTATTCGCTTTGGCATGTCTCATGCTTGCCTGCACTAATCCACCACGAATACCTAAAAAATTAA